AGAGAGGAATAGAGTTAGAAACATCGATGAGAGAATCATCGATCAGCTGCCTCTTGCACACCCCCTACTGGGGATGTGCCCGCAACCCAGGTACATGCCCTTGACCAAAATCGAACCCGGGACCCTTCAGTCCGCAGACCGACGCTCTACCACTGAGCCAAACCGGTTTCGGCTGTTTAATATATTTTTTATTGATTTTTTTACAGAGAGGAAGGAAGAGAGAGCTAGAAACATCCGTGAGAAACAAACATCGACCAGCTGCCTCCTGCATACCCGCTCCTGGGGATGTGCCAGCAACCAAGATACATGCCCTTGACCGGAATCGAACCAGGGACCTCAGTTCCCAGACTAACGCGCTATCCACTGAGCCAAACCGGTTTCGGCATGCACGTTGTTGTTGTTTTTCTCTTCTCTGCATGTTTTTTATATTGCACAATCTCTAAGATGTGTTACACACACAGAGTGGGGGTAAGTCAGCAGCACATGGTGGCATACACTCCCCTAGCAGAAACAAAATTCAGACTAGGTGAGTGTGGGGGGAGACCTTGTCCCCGGAAGGCCGGGCCGGAGTTTGCTCCGGGTTGGTAGCTTGGTGGCCCCGCGCAGACCGCCTCAATTTCCCCATCGCGGCTTGCGAGCGTCCGCCCCGGAGTTCTCGCCGCTTCGGGCGGCCCCGCGCCCGGTGCCCGTAGCTGGCGCCGCGAGAGCCGGGAAAACCGGAAGTTGGAGTGGGGCAGCCGGACGGGAAAGGCCAGCACACCCGCCTGGGTCCGGAGGCGCAAGGGTAATTTCACTCAGCGGGGCTGTCCCTGGGGACGCGGAAGGGAGCGCGCAGGTGCGAGTGGCCGGACGGCGCCTTGGAGAGGCGGGGCCATGTGGACCTCAGCCAATCACCGGCGTGTCCTCGGGGCGGGGCAACGTCGTTGCCTAGACAACACGCTCCCAGCACCGGTGCTCCGAAAGCGTCCTCTCCCGCTGCCTCGCTTTAGGGGGGGACCCAGCGGCGGAGTCACCTCTGTGCCTCTGGGGGTGAGCTCCCACGACCTGGTCTCCGGCACACTTGGGGGTTCTTATTTTTCTTCTTATTCCTGGGACCCCTCCTATCTAACACTTGTACTGGGTTTGTTTTTGTTTGTTTTTTCCTTTGTCAGTGGTGAACATTTACTCTGCTCTATTTATTCGATTATTCCTGTTTTTCTCCTTCCCTCCCATTCCTTTATTTCCCTCTCTGGTCTCTTCTTCCTAAGACTAGATGTTTACATTGGCCTGTCTCCAGCCTGGGCTGCCTTAATACAAGGCTATTTTTTCCTTACTTAAGATTATTATTATTTTTTTCTTATTTAAGATTATTGTGTGTGTGTGTGTGTGTGTGTGTGTGTGTGTGTGTGTTTTAGTTTTTATTATTCTGGGTGTGTTTTTTGTTTGTTTTTGTTTTTGTAAAGTCCTCTCTAAGACCTGATAAGCTCTCAGGCCAATCTCTGAAGATAGGTCATGATTTATTTTCTAAAGATAGCGTATTCTCCTTACTCAAGCTCAATGAAGCCACCTGATACCAGTTTGCATTTGTGTTTCCGGTGCCTGAAGCTCCAATAAGCGCCTTCATCCATAATTATCCTTGTGACAGGCTCCTGAGGTGAGTACGTACCTACACTGGTGGCCAGTGAACTGGACAGCCGGTGATTTGTGCTGGATTTATATGGAGTTATTCTTTTTAAATTTATTTTAGTCATCAACATTTAAAAGTCAGGACATTTCACATAAAAATCTTATTCTTTTGAGTTCTCTTGAAAAATCCTCAAGCTTTGGCAATTCTGGGTCCCCAACTGTCACCTCTTAAACAAAATATGGTTTATTGAGGCCCTGAAGTCCCTCCCCTCTCAGGTCTTACACCCAACGAACCAGTCATTTGTGGTACTGCCTAGCTGCTGGATGCATGAAGGTTTTTTTTGTTTGTTTGTTTGTTTTTTAACAGAATATGATTATATTTAATACACAAGTTTCATACAACCAATGCATTTAGGTTTTGATCTCTGCTTTACTCATTGACTCTCCCTGCCTGGATGCCTTTCTGAACTCGTCCAGGGAATTCCCACATAGCAAGCGTGAGAGCCTTTCCTCCTACACCTTCTCGGGCCTAGCACCAGTCCTGGAAGGGTTTCCTTTTATTTCCAAGAAGGCACTAATATCTGTCATATAGCAGGTGCTCAATATGTATTTTAACAGTTAAATAAATATTATTACTTTATTCGGTCTAGTGTAGGCAATCCCCTGGTGGGACCCAAATCTCCGGACTTCCCAATATCCCTGACGCGACCCTTACTAGGTGAGGGTAGAGACTTTTGCCCAGGAAGCACTCTTTTTGGACTCGGTGCACTCCTGGGACTGTCATGGGCTAAAACGGCTCGCCGAGGAGAAGGTCCCTTACTCTGGACAGCGGCCATGCCCCCCCTTGATGGAGAAATGCTCACAGATTGAGCAGTTCACCTTCTTCAGGGCTCCCTGTGGCTTCTTCTCAGTTTGTAGCTCTCTCTGGCTTGAAAACAATAGTTACTTTTGCTCCACCTTTGTACATCTCTCTTTACCTTGAGGATTAAAATGTCTGGAAATACTGACCAGAGATAAACCTTAGGGGTAATTTCTCCTTCATCAAAGTGACAACAGAATGGGTGAGAGTCCTGGGACTCCTAAAACATGTTGAACTCCAGAAGGAGAGTTGCAAACTTAAAATATTGCAGGAGCCAAGTGGGAACCAAATGTGGCAGTCTGAGAGCGGCCCCTGGATGTGAGGAACTTGGGTCCAGGGTTTCCAGATGTTCTAATTTTTCAAGAAAATAACATTTATGAGAATTCTAATTTTTAAATGTTGGAAACTAATCTATAATAATAAAAGCATAATATGCTAATTATACCAGACATCCATCTGGACGAAGCCAGGGCTGTGAGAGAAGCCCAGGTCCTGGGTGCCTGCCAGCAGCCGGAGGGAAGCCCAGGTCCCAGGTGCCAGAGGGAAGCCAGTGCCGGCAGCCAGCCAGGTGAAGGAAGGCCTACTCTTGCACAAATTTCATGCATCAGGCCTCTGATTTTCTAAAAGTGAAATCCTTATGAGCCTTTGTAGCATGCCTGTAGGCTGGTACAGGGGCCAGTCCTGCTTGTCTTACTAAATGCAGTGGACACGTCTTATAATATATTTCCTGGAAGAAAAGGGATGGGTTCATGAGGGCTATTGTACTATTTCCTCTGCCCATTGCTCTGCCCATCAACATTCCCCTGCCATGGCCTTCAGCCCATCAATCCTGATTTCAGAGGTGTAGGGAAATGGGGGAACAATCATCAATTCAAACGTTGGTTTTGTTTCATCTCCACTTCTTCCCATTCCACTGTGTTCCCAACACTGGATTACTTTGAAGTAATCAGCCGGGATGGATGGGCTGAAGGCAATGGACAGGGGAATGTTTCCTGGAGGAAATTTCTAGTCCCCACCCCCTTTCTGACTGGGAGGTGGAATATGAACCTACCAGGGATGTCTGAGGGTCTGGGGCCCCATGGATAGTTGGGCCAGACCCCTTAACCTCCACTTACCTTAGCCTCGGGAGGGAGTTGAGGGTAGGAGGCAATTAGAAAAATTAGAATGATCCCCCATCTTTCAGAGGTGTAGGGAAATGGGGGAAACAGGTAGAAGGGAGATCCTGGGCTTTTTATGGAGCGGGAACTCTGTATCAGTCTTGGGGGGAACCCAGAGGACCTGCTGACCAGCCTAGGGCTGTAAATAAAATCGAGGGGAAATCTCTATGGAGACACCACAGACCTTCAGAAGTCCTCAATGGTGCTGAAAAGGACCATCTACCCCTCCACCCAGCAAAGTGCCTCCCTCCTGTGAGGACAGCTGCAATGTTGTCTCTGAAACGCCAAATGTCACACTCCTCCCATAAAACGCATTTTCCCATATTTGCACCCCCGCTTGTGTGGCATCTCTAGTAGTACATGCCCGAAAAGTGATTGTGAGCTGCCAGTGCAGATTGGGACTGACTTTTGGGGCAAGAGCAGGCAGTGCTGGGCTGGGGACCCTAAGCCCGGAACCTTCGAAGCCAGGAACCCTCTAGGACTGCAGCTACTCGGGGAACAGGATCTGGGAGGGACTTCCTGTTGTCCTTAATCCCAGTCTCTGCCGGGCTCCCCTTCCCAGGTGCTGGCTGCCGCGACAACTTTCCTGGGGGAGGACCCCCCCTCCCACTGTTCAAGGTGCCCCATTCACCTCCACCTCAGTGAGGGTGGGGGGCTGGGTGGGGGCCTGAATCCAAAGACTGGTGCGGGCGGCCAGCTGGCAGGAGGGGAGGGGGTCGAGGGTGGAAGGCTTGGAGAGACGGGGTCCTAGACCCAGCTTGGGGAAGGGGAAGGACAGGAAGGACATCCTCTGGTCAGGACCCTCAGCCAGATGGACTCCCAGTGCCAGGCGGGTCATTGCAGCTGCAGGGGGGTGGGGCGGGGGAGGGCTGCTGAGAGTGGGCAGCTCACTTTCTGGATCCCAGGCATGGCTGAGTCAGGCTGAGTTCAGGGTCTATGTGTGTCCTGAGCCAGAGAAACATCAGATCCTGGATTCCCCTGCTGAGCTGGCTGTGGCGTTAGGGGCCCCACGCAGCACCTGCTTTGTATGATCTGTGCAAACCTTTCAGCTTCTGATGACAGGAGATACAGATTCCTAGTCTGTATCTGAGCTAATGGACTCTGGCTTAATGACAAATGGGACAAGACAAAATAGCATGCTGTAGGAGCGAGGAGCAAAAAAACAGAGGGAGGCCGTTGGATGGCATCAAGGAGGCTTTATTTTTTATTGAAAACGGGGATGCATCTGGCCCTCCATGGGATTTTGGGAGGCACTTCAGAGGTATCCAGGAGATGCTGCCTGATTTCCTTCTGCTCTTCTAGGCTCCTGGCCAGAGGCTGGAGGGGGCCTGGCCAACAGCGGGAAACAACTCAGCTGTGCTTTCTTGCTGTGAGATAGAATGTCTGCAGATCGTGGCAGCATCCGGGCTACCCAGGACAAAGAGAGAGCCCAAGAGGTATGGACGGGGTGCCAGGTGAGGGGAGTGTGCTCTGGAAGGAACTGGAGCTGGATGGTATCTTCCCAGGAGGGTGTCTGGACCAATCACTGGGGTACAGAGCTGGTGGTGGGGGTGATGGGAGTATTAAAAAGAAGATGGTATGATTGGAAAGACTTTCCACCTGGGAATTGACTTCTGTGGAACTGCATTGCTTTGCAATAGTCAGAGGACCAAAGACCAAGTTGTGAGGTAGCATTAGGCTGTGTAGGGACCCTACTGTGGAGGCCAGCTCTCTGAACAAACCCAGAGCACACAGAAGCCTCAGTACCCTCCCCCAGCACACATACACATACACACACATACACACACACACACACACTCACACACACACACACACACACACACACACTCACACATATACACTGTCCTTGGCCTGAGACCCCTTCTCTTCTCTCTGGGTGTGAGCACATAGGCCTTCATGTACTGTGTGTGTGTGTGTGTGTGTGTGTGTGTGTGTGTGTAATTACAGGGAGACGAGAGCCACCAGGCTTGGAATCAGGAATATGAGTCAGTCACGGCCAGGTGTGTGACCTTGGGCAAGTCCCTGGCCTCTGGAAAGCAGGTGTAAGATCTACAAAATGTGGATCATGTGCCTGTTGTTCCCATCTGTCCCAGCCAGGTGGTTAGGAGGCTCGGAGGAGGTAATGGGCAGAGTCCTCGGTAAGCAGTTCATTAGCCTGATTATTGAGGTCATTTTGGTAACACACAAAACAAGGACACCCACAGTGACGGGAACCTGGTCAGAGAGACCTATGGCCCCTCTCCTAGGAGTAAAATACAAATCAAGCACCAGTTCTGTTTTTCCCGCCATAGAAGCATAAGGAATTGTTACCCGTGTTCGGTTTCCATTCCACAATGCCTTTGTAACTCCAAAGGGCCTCACACACCCACTGCATTCTCTGCTGATGGTGGGTTCTGTCAGCTCACACAGTTGAGTAATAATAATAACAGTAACTTTTTTATGTTTATCTGGAACTTTCTGGGCAGTTCTTGCTCACCCGTTATCTGTGCAGGAGGCAGAGCAGCTGAGTCTTGGAGGCTGTCTCACCCATGTGATCCTCAGGCACCCTGACTCCTGAGTTTTTTCCTGTGAGACTAACAGATGGACATGGGGAAGTGGGAGGGTTTTGCATGAGTTCCCAGCAGAAGGCTGGCTAGTCCCTGTGCTGTGGAGACAATGAGGCTTCACCAGGGGCCTCCAAAGGGAAGGGAAGTAACTTAACTGAGACTCTGCTCAGGCGAATGGCTAGTGAGGCTCTGGATTTGAGCCCCAGTCACCTGACTGAAGCCTGCTCCTCATGCCGGGGCCAGGCTGTGACGAAGGGGGGCAAATGGGAGGACCCTGCAGTCCCACCGTGCGGGGTGGTGCTGAAGGGGGTGAGCTGGAGAGGAGTTCTGTCAGACCAAGATGGGCATCAGGCCTCAGCACACTTAGTGGCACTCTTGGGTTTTTTCCAAACCAACAAACACCCAACTACTCTGACCAAACTGAGTCAGGCCAGGAACAGCCCCAGGCCACGCGATGCCTCCCGGGCACCTTGAAGACATGGTGGCCCGAGGGTGACTTGGGAGTCAGAGACACTTGAGTTCGAATCCTGGTGGAGTCACTCACCAGCTCCATGATCTTGGGCCATTGTCTGATCGCTGAGCCTGGGAACATTAGTTTCCTGGGGCTGTTGTAACACAGGACCACAAACTTGGTAGCTTAAAACAACCAGAATTGATTCTCTCAGTTCTGAGGCCAGAAACCCAAAACCACGGTGTTGCCAGGGCTCCCAAGGCTCCAGGGGAGAATCCTTTCTGCCTCTCCTGGCTTCCGGGGGCTCCAGCTGTCCCTTGACTTTTGACAGCATCTCTCCAACCTTTGCTTCTGTCTTCACAGGGCCTCCTCCATATTTGTGTCCTCTCCTCTTTTTATAAGGACACCCACCAGTCATTAGATTTTCAACCTGCTCTACTTGGTTACCTCCTATATTAAAAATAATAATCCAGCCGAAACCGGTTTGGCTCAGTGGATAGAGCATCGGCCTGTGGACTGAAGGGTCCCAGGTTTGATTCCGGTCAAGGGCATGTACTTTGGTTGCGGGCACATCCCCAGTAGGGGTTGTGTAGTAGGCAGCTGATCGATTATTTTTTCTCATCGATGTTTCTAACTCTATCCCTCTCTCTTCCTCTCTGTAAAAAATCAATAAAATATATATTAAAAAAAATAATAATAATCCACACGGCTGTTAGAGGTGCAGGCCTGAATCGAAACAGGCAGCCGTCCTGTGGGCACAGCCAGCTGGCACCTCGCAGGGCCTTGAGGAGCTGCCTTTATTCCCTTGTGGTGGTGAGCAGGGGGTGCACAGGCCCCTGGGGTGGGGAAAGGAAGCAAGGCCAGTCCTAAGGCTGTGTCTTGTGTTTGGTTGTGCATTCGGCCACACTAGGTGTCTGCCCTTGCAGGGACCCCTCGGTGTGGAGGACGTGGGTGCTCGGCCGTGTCTCCCCGTCTCCGCCCCAGTGCTGATGGGGGCTGCCATTCCTAGGTTCCAGGTCCAGGGCATCCCTGTCAAGAAATGCTTCCTGAGCCAAAGGAGATGGCGCCGTTGGGAGCCGCTCAGGAGTCGCCCTGCATTAAGACAGAGCTGCAAGAGCCGCACCCGGAGGAGGCGCTGCAGGAGGACAAGGCACAAGGAGCTTGGAGCTGGGGCCTAAGCCAGGGCGCTAAGGAGAAAGCTCTCTTTCTGCCCGGAGGTGAGGAGAGGGGTGAAGAGCAGTGCTTTCCTTCAGCAGCTGTGAGGAGAGAGGGAGGCTCACTGCCCAGGAGGGGAGGGGAAGAGGCCGCTGCCATGGTCAGGAGCGATGCCTGGGTGTCTGCTCACTTGCCTCTTGGAGGCCATCCTGGCACAGCCTCAGAGCCTACTGCCCTCTTCTTGGATGGGGTCAGCAGTGTGCATTTTCCAGGCATGAGCCCACTTGGGGAGCAGCAGGATGCAGCAGGATGAGGTGGCCTCTCTGAGGACCTCTCTCCTCTCTCAGCCCTCCCCTCCCCCCAGATCCCCGTGCTTTCCCAGGAGGGGAGGACCAGAGACCGGCAGATGGCTGCAGCACTCCTCACTGCCTGGTCCCAGGTGAGTGCGCTGCCAAGGCCGAGGGACGGCATCTCTGACCGAATCGTCCCCCAGAGCTCCGCACCGGACCCGAGGGTGGGTGCTGGAGGGAAATGTGCTGGAGATCCGAGCTTTGGCTGTGGTGTCGGAAAGAAGGCCTCTTGTTTTTGTTCCTGTCTGTTGCACACAACTGCCTTATTCTTGCCCCCCACCTCCACCCCCACCCCCCAAAATCCTTGGGTGGCTCCTGCTTCACCCTCGGGCCTGGGCAGCAGGTTGGGAGTTGGGAATCTCATCTTGGCCTCATCTTGGCACTATCAGGCTCCCTCCACCATGCCTTGTCGTGTCCTGCAGAGAAGGCGTTTTGTGTTGTTTCAGATGCCAGTCACCTTTGAGGACGTGGCTCTGTACCTCTCCCGGGAGGAGTGGGGGCAGCTGGACCACACGCAGCAGAGTTTCTACCGGGATGTCCTGCAGAAGCGAAATGGGCTGGCCTTGGGTAAGGGCTGGCCCTTGTGTTGGGGCGACCACTGAGGCCCCAGATGTCAGAGGTGGGGTGTGTGCCACTGTCACCTCCCAGCTTTCCAAGGCTTAACCCTTTCTCATAGTTCACGTAGACAGTGCTGTTAGGTAGAACCTTCTAGTGATGGGCATGCTCCACGTCTGGGCTGAGCTGGCAGCCATGAGCCAGATGTGGCTGTAGAGCATAGAAATGTGGTTAGAGCAACTGAGTAATTTATTTTATTTAATCAGCTCAGTTTTAAACTGAAATATTATAGCTATATGTGGCTAGTTGGCTGCTGGACTAGACAGTGCCTACCTACAGATTCTGCTTCTCTTTGGTTCTTCTGTGTGCTTATACCTGTAGTTTCACCCTTCTCTCTCTCTCTCTCTCTCTCTCTCTCTCTCTCTCTCTCTCTCTCTCTCTCTTTTTAATTTTTTTTTTATTTCAGAGAGGAAGGGAGAGGGGAGAAAGAGATAGAAACATCAATAATGAGAGAGAATCATTGATCTGCTCCTTCCTGCATGCCCCCTACTGAGGACTGAGCACACAGTCTGGGCATGTGTGCTGATCAGGAATGGAACCGTGACCTCCTGGTTCATAAGTTGATACTCATCCACTGAGCCACACCAGCTATGCACGAAACTAGGCTTTTGAAGCGTCTGAGCAGAAAACTTGGCTCTGGGGTCAGGGCCGCTTGCCTGCAGTAGGGGGACATGGTGCCAGTTAATCTCCAGATTAACTCATGCCCAAGAGGCATGTCCTCTTCTCAGAGGGGCGTGGCTCTCTCTGTTTTTCTCACTGTAAGAGTTAAGTCACAGGGCTGTTCTCCTCACTTTCAGACTAGTTTTTTTGGGCAGATTTTCATGAGATCTTATGAAAAACTCAGTGTGTATATTCATTTTTTAAAAATATTTTTTTTATTTCAGAGAGGAAGGGAGAGGGAGAGAGAGAATTATTGGTCAGCTGCCTCCTGCACACCCCACACTGGGGATCAAGCCCACAACCTGGACATATGCCCTGACCAGAAATCGAACCTTGACCTCCTGGTTCATAGGTTGACATTCAACCACTGAGCCATGCTGGCTGGGCTCTTCATTCATTCATTCATTCATTCGTTCATTCATTCAGTTAGTATGTCTATCAACACACATCTGTTGCACACCTGCTAGTCCCAAGTGGAGTTGGGGGCTTGGTAATGGCCCCCTTTGACTTCAGTGGTGAGCTGAGACCCCTTCAGTCCCTGATGGATCCCAAAATCACAGCCACCCTGCTCACTCCTTTAGTTGTTAACTCTCAGGGCCCAGATCAGCAGGTCTGGGCAAGTCCTGGGCGATCAGAGGGAACCTAGTGCCCATTTGTGGCCCCATGACAGGTCTCAGGAATGACCAGTTTGTTCAACACAAGCTTCCCGGGAGCTTGGGTCAGGGTATGGAGGCCAGGCCCTCTGCTCTCTTACTGACTTAACCAGAATTCTCAAGCCTTTACCACGGACTTACAGAATAGACCTCTGGTCCCTGACTTCTGGGTGGTCAGTGTCTCTGGCCTTCCTGTCCCCGGCCCTCTCCCAGGAGTCCTTTTTTGCTGATGGTCTTGGAAAGGTGTAGGCGCAGGAGTGGGAGACTGTGTTTGGTTTCCAACGATGCTGGGCCCACTGCTGTGGCAGTGAGGGAGTGGGTTGCTGGCAGCCCAACTGGTCCTTTACTCCTGGTGCTCGTTCAAGGAGACGAGGAGGAACCCTGACTCAGCCCTGGAAAGACGTGTCTGGGGGTGGCCCTGGAACGTGCTTCCTAGAGAGGGTGGACATCTGATACCAAGCAGTCTTTGCGCTCATGTGGTATTACCTGGTGTTTCCGGTTGCACCCATTCCCTTTGCTCTGTCACTTCTTGGGGTGTGTGTGTGTGTGTGTGTGTGTGTCTCTCCTGCTGGGCAGCCGGGAGGTCTGTGACAGCACTGCATCTCTTTTCGGGCAGGGTTTCCCTTCAGCAGAACTTTCTGGGCCTCCCAGGTGCAGGGCAAGGGCGAGGCCTCCAGTGCACGCCTGCAGATGGGAGATGAAGAGGAGAAGAGAGGTGCGTCCAGAGGTGATGGTGGGCAGTGGGTTGTCGGTGGCACTCCCAGGTGCCCTTTGTCCGTGCAGGCTCTGGTTCCTGGGGGTGCAGACACACGGCCCTGCCTGGGGCAGGGTGCCAGCCTCCCCCCCTCTGCTCAGGGTGGCCGTCGTTCCCCAGGCCCCCCTCTGGTCCTTGCGCTTTTCTCCATCTCTGGAATTCCCTCGGGCCCCTCACAAAAGCCTCTCTCTGGTTGGAAACTGTTTCTCCAGGAGCGGTGGAGGTGAGAAAGGAGGACCCGGCAGTCCCTGGGGACGTGAAGTCCTTTCGGACCAGGACAGGGAGAGCCCAGGATGTCCTACAGTGTGGATGGCAGGCAGCCGGCAGCCAGAGAACGGGGCCCGCCAAAGATGAGGGGCAGCCGGGCCCCCCGGAGGAGAGACAGCTGGAGCCAGCCCTGTCCGACACTGACACGTTAGAGAAACCCGGCGAGGGGGAGACGGGCGCCCCCGAAAGCGGCGAGGAGGGCGCGGCCCCCGACGGCGACCCCAGCAAGAAGACCTACAAATGCGAGCAGTGCGGCAAGGGCTTCAGCTGGCACTCCCACCTGGTGACACACCGGCGCACGCACACGGGCGAGAAGCCCTACGCCTGCACGGACTGCGGCAAGCGCTTCGGCCGCAGCTCGCACCTCATCCAGCACCAGATCATCCACACGGGCGAGAAGCCCTACACCTGCCCGTCCTGCTGGAAGAGCTTCAGCCACCACTCGACGCTGATCCAGCACCAGCGCATCCACACGGGCGAGAAGCCCTACGTGTGCGACCGCTGCGCCAAGCGCTTCACGCGCCGCTCGGACCTGGTCACGCACCAGGGCACGCACACCGGGGCCAAGCCCCACAAGTGCCCCGTCTGCAGCAAGTGCTTCACGCAGAGCTCGGCCCTGGTCACCCACCAGCGCACCCACACGGGGGTCAAGCCCTACCCCTGTCCCGAGTGCGGCAAGTGCTTCAGCCAGCGCTCCAACCTCATCGCGCACAACCGCACGCACACGGGGGAGAAGCCCTACCACTGCCTCGACTGCGGCAAGAGCTTCAGCCACAGCTCGCACCTCACCGCCCACCAGCGCACCCACCGCGGGGTCCGGCCCTACGCCTGCCCGCTCTGCGGCAAGAGCTTCAGCAGGCGCTCCAACCTGCACCGGCACGAGAAGATCCACACCACCGGCCCCAAGGCCCTGGCCATGCTGATGCTGGGGGCTGCGGGCGCCCTGGCGGCACCCCCGCCTGCCCCCACCTAGGAGGTCTGGAGGGAGGGGCCGGCCCAGGGAGGAAGGAGGGCAGCTGCAGTGGCAGTGAGAAGGTGCTGGGAAGGGAGTTGGGAGGTGCTGGCGTGGGGGTGGGGCATGGCAACACTGGGAGTGTCCACGTTGAAGAGCGGGCAGGCTAGCTGCAAATTAAAGGACTTGGAATTCAAGCCACAGCCTATGGCTCTGTCTTGGGGTGGGGTGGTGGGGTGGGAAGGGTTGGGGCCATGGGGGATGCTGATGGCTGGCCCCGGACTTGGGTTGGGGCCCTATCCAAATGGTCAGGACCATAAGTGTCCAGGCAAAGGAGAGTGTAAGACCTGAAGCCAACCAGCCACTGCTGGAATTGTGGACTCCCGGGGGCCCTCAGCTGTGCCCTCACTCTCAGACCACGGGTCTTGCCCACTGGGCCCTGAAACCGCCCTGGGCCTGCCTGCTGGGAGCCTGAGCGGGCCAGGGCCAGCTTGTGAACTCACATTGTCTCCTGCCTGCCCTGTTCCTGTCGCAGGTGCCAGCTCAGACATTTTCCATCTGCTTTCGCTGGGTCTAGCGGTAATTCATATGAAATCCTCACTTACAGGGACTGCTGTCCCTCCTCGTTCCTTCCGGGGCTGCTGCTCCCCTCCTTGGCCTCTTCACACATGTCCTTTATAGTTTGCCGTGCTCACCTATGCCTGGTTATCCTTTTTTGCTTCTGTTTGTTTCCCATTCTCTACTATGTTTCCTGGGAGGGCTGGGCTCAGCCTGCTTATTATCCAGGATTTGCAACTTGGCATCCAAGATAACATGCAGTTCTGACCTTGATGTCTGCATCAGAGGCCACTGAGACCCACCTGTCTCTGTGGATCATGGAGCCAGCAGGTGGCTCAGCCCTGGCTGGCTCCCAGCTCCTAAGGATGGCAGGCTGGGATAGTAATAACAGCTGCCCGTTGTTGAGCAACTGTCCTGCCAGGCCTGGGACCAAGTACCATATATATGTCACCTCTTCTCCACAACACTGGGGAGTGGGTTTTACCCCAGTTTGTTTTTTTTAACATTACTTTTAAAAATTTATTTCAGAGAGGAAGAGAGAAGGAAAGAGAGACAAACATCAGTGATGAGAGAGAATCACCAATTGGCTGCTTCCTGCATGTCCCACACTGGGAATCAAGCCCACAACTCAAGACATGTGCCCCCAACCAGAATTGAAGCCAGGACCTTTCCGTCTGCCGGCTGATGCTCTATCCACTGAGCCAAACTGGCTATGGCTTATCCCAGGTTTATAGATGAGGAAATGGAGGCTGGGAGAAAACGCTAACTTCCCCAAAGCCATGCAACTGGAGAGCTGAAAGCTGGGTTCGGGGCCAGGGCTTTTACCAGGTAAAGAATACCCCTATTTCCATGCACCCCAACAGCTATTGACTAATTAATGCATTATATTACCAGGCAGGGCTGTCTAAGAAGAGTAAGAGAGTGGACTTGACCTTCTGGGCTGCTGGACTCAGCTGGAGATGGGGGAGGGAGGAGCATACAATCATTGGGATGCCAGGAAGCTGCTGATGGGAGCCTAGGCAGGACTGGGAGGCCTCGGTGGGATGTAGGGATAAGTTGCTGGCAGGCCTGGTGAGAAAGAAAGCAGTTTCCTCCCTTCAGCCTGCCTTCATGGCTCCCGTCACAGCCAGAAATGGGATTTCTCTGCTTGGCTCAGCGTGAGAGGCTGACAGCGCTCACACACACAAAGCAGGTTTGCTGTCCCGGGAGCTTTTCTAATGCAGGAGGCAAGTGAGAAGGCGACTTAAAAGGACATTGGGAGCTGTCAGCACTTGGCACAAGCTTAGCACAGAATATTCATTTGCACAGAGGCTATTTGCTTGGGCTGCACAGCCGGGGTGTCAGGACTTGAACCACTCGGAGGTCTGTTGAGTGAGTCAGGAATTTCACTCTGGCCTATGAAAAGCTCAGAGATCACCGTATCCAGGAGAAACTGTCTTTCCTTTTCTTTTTTCTTTCCTTTTTCTTTTTTCTTTTCTTTTTTTTTTTTTTTTTTAATATATTTGATTTTGTACAGAGAGGAAGGGAGAGAGATAGTTAGAAACATCAATGAGAGAGAGTCATTGATCAGCTGCCTCTTGCACACCCCCTACTAGGGATATGCCTGCAACCAAGGCACATGCCCTTGACCGGAATCGAACCCGGGACCTTTCAGTCCCCAAGCCCACGCTCTATCCATTGAGCCAAACCGGTTTCGGCCTGTCTTTCCTTTTCATAGCGTGAGACACAGAGATGTGATTCCAAGACCCGCCTGGCTCTCCCTTCCTGAAGTCCATCCACAATCACCATTCTGGCACCGGCCAGGCAAGTGCATTCTAATTGTGGAACTTGGCGGTTTGGAAACTATTTGACAAGAGCAGCTAAGAGAGAGGAGAGGTAGCTGGGGCATCGCGTGGAAGGCCTGGAATGTCAGGGTGAAGGGTGCTGGTGGTTTGGTGAGTTAGGGAGTGACACTGAGGTGGCGGGCGGGGGTGAGGGGACACCAGGGTCTGGGTAGCGATGGGGTTTGCTTCTCACACCCGCCATGCCAGCTTCAGGGCACTGCAGAACCCAACCTGGTTAGGTTACGCACGATTGGCCTACACCTGCGCCTTCGGGAGGGCGAAGGGAAGGGAGAGCATTTCCTCCGGGCTCTCCACCCTCCTCCTGGGCGGCCACAGGCTCACACAGGTCCTGGCTGGCCGCGCAGCCCTCCGGGCGCGTGGTCCACGGCCTGGGCACAACGTTGGGGTCTGGAAACCCGCCGGGGTCTCGGAAGCCGGGGAGCCGACCACTGGGATCCTCCCCGCAAGGAGGACTGGCCTCGGAAGGCCCCGCCTCTCCTGCCTTTAGCCAATCAAGTGCGTAGGCGGAGAGAGAGGCGGGCACGAGGAAAACCGGCCAATCACGGCTGACGTTCTCGAGAGCGGACCGTCTTGTGGTTGTTTTCCCCGCGCCCGCAAGCCACAGCGGGTTGCTAGGGCAACTGACTCCACGCTTTGGATTTCTTCGTTGGTCCTCACCTAAGAATATTTTTCCCATTGATCTTTAGAGAGAGTGAGAGGGAGGGAGAGAGGGAGGGAGGGAGGGAGAGAGGGAGTGAGGGAGGGAAGGAGGGAGGGAGAGAGGGAGGGAGAGAGACACCATCGATGTGAGAGACATTGATTGGTTGCCTCCCGCACATGCCCGCACCAGGAACCTGCAACCCGTGACGTGACCGGGAATCAATGGACGAGGAAGACGGAGGCTCCAACCACTGAGCCCACGGCTAGGGCCCGAAGCTCTCGATTTTGAACCTTGCCCTTTCCCTTCAGTCTGGCATCGGTTGCAAAAGGAACCAACTACTGGGGGCTGGACTCCTGGTTTCGTAGCCAGCCCCAGAGCCTTCAGGGCCGGCCTCGGGCCTACCACAGAGATACCGGGTCTCCTGCCGTCCTAGGAGGGCCAGGGCCACTTCCGGCATCGTGCTCGAGCCCCCCCCATCACCTGGTTGTTACCCCAAGACCCGGGGAGCCCGACCCTGGCGGCCACATCCAACCTTGAAGCTGGCTGACTCTTCCATGGCGCCAGGCAGAGAAATCCTGCCCAAGAAGGGACCTTCCGGGCGGGGGCGGGTAAACTGAGGACTCCGGTGCGAGGTGAGAGGGCAGGAAAAGGCGGGAAAACATTAACTAGGGACTTTGCTGCATTCACTCATTCATCTTTTTAAATATGAGACGAATGAGTTCTGGATTCTTTGCTAAATGGTGAGGAATAAGGAATGAAAAAGCCACACAAGATCCTTGCGCTCATGGGGTTGGTCCTGGTGGAGGAGACTGGCAAGCAGATAATACATTAATTTCAAGTAGTGATAAATGCCAGAAAGAAAGGACAGGTGAAGCAATGGAGGAGGCTAGCAACTGATAGGAAAGGCCCATGCAAGGAGGGAACATTTAAGCTAAGACTTGAAGAATGACAAGAAGCTGTTGTATAAGAATTTGGGGGCAGACCCTCCAAGCTAGGAAAACAAAATGAAGCCAACAAAATCAAGGCCTTGCCAAGAAGAGATGGGCGTTTCATGAGGTGAAATGACAACCCTGGTGGGAAGGAGGGGAAGCCAGAGAAGTGAGACTGGTGAAGGGTGTGGCCTGAGGCTTCTCCCTGGTGTCGCCTGGTTGGTGGAGAACGGGAGGTTAGAGGATGGTCCAGCCTTCCTTGTGCTCACGTTCCTGGTCCAGCCTGTGACATGGGTCAGGCAGCCTTCCTGTCTGGGTTCCAAATGCAGCACTCGGTGACCTGCCACTCACTCACCTCCTAGAGCACTCCAGTTTTTCTGTTCTCAACGCATAAAGCTCACGGCCAGCCATGAAGATTAAGACAATGGAACAGGCCACCCACCAGAGCAAGTTGGGCTGAAATCTTCAGGGGAAAGTGGAAAAGATGCCCAGGAGTTCTGACTCCTGCAGCTTCTCAGGTCTTCTATGCTCCTGGCAAGTTTCTGGTGATGGTAACTCCCTGAGACTAACCACTCTTTATTGAGCATTTACTGTGTGTTGAGTTAATACTTGTCTATTATACTTGTATACTCTCATTTATGTAATCCTTACAATGACCCTATGAGGCCGAGACTGATTTGGCTCAGTGGATAGAGCGTCGGCCTGCGGACCAAAAGGTCCCGGGTTCAATTCCGGTCGGGGGCATGTACCTTGGTTGTGGGCACATCTCCAGTGGGAGGTGTGCAAGAGGCAGCTGATCGATGTCTCTCTCTCTCATCGATGTTTCTAACTCTCTCTCCCTCTCTCCCTCTCTGTAAAAAATTAATTAATATATATATATATTAAAAAAGAAAAAAAAGAAAACTGGACTGAGATACCTTTTTTAAAAAAAAGTGCCATCTTGGGATCTCAAACCATGGATTTAAATATACATGTTGATTTTGAAATTTAAAAACACTTTTTAAATTTTAAAAACACAGAGAAGAAACCGATTTGGCTCAGTGGATAAAA